ACTCAACATGCGGTGCTTGTACTTATATGGCGAAGAAGCATGAACAGTGACAACCTCCGATGGAGTGTTCGAGGGAAAGATGCGATGGTGAATGCCGTACGAATGGACAGAAATCATCCAGGTCTGAAACTAAATATATGACTCCGATCGCGATTGGCAAGACCAGATGGGGAAAGACTTGGCTTTACTTGGAATTTTCATTTGGCTCCAGTTTACAGAGAAGAGAAACAACAGACTTTCTTCGTTTGACTCGGCCAAACCTGCATGGAGAGTTCCAGTGCCGGAAAACAAGAAAAAAGAGCCGTCTATGCCTTATACACTCTCTCTTCTGTACATTTAGTTCCCTTGTTAATTTCCTTTACAGATTTATCACCAGTTAAATGGCATGATTTTTTTAACTAAAGATACACACCCACACTGTAGCTTACATCATTCTTGCATTTTTTACTTTCTGGTAAAGACACGTGTGCTTTATGGGCATGCGTAGCAGGCACTGCTTTCTTTCAATTGCAGCAAATTCTGGCTGGCTCTGTTTGCGCTCTGGTTCTTAGATATCATGGTAGGAATCGGTGAATCTCCCAGAAAAAGAGCTCAACATAGGACGCAATGAAGTGTTGTCAACGGTCGCATTGTATCCATTCCGCCCGTCGTCAGTTCTAAAATCACTCACTTCTTCCGATATTTTTTCTCATTCGGCTGTTTTTTTTTCGAGATAAACCTAGTCTTTGTGTCTGCAACTCAAAACATCGTCGAAGCGCATTAGTTGCTTACATATCACACGTATATTTGAAAGCATGCTTTGACATAATTCATTGCAAAATCGGGAGCCCATATTCTGAATCAAATCAATTGTCAAGCGATTTATTCTTGGAGCTACAGTCCCAGTAACTCCAAGATATGCATTTTGAATATTGAATTATTACTCCCTCGTGATGTTAGTCAAGTTATAAGATTCTCCCTCAAATTATGGCATTCTCGATTAATACCCCCATTCCATACGCTCCTTCCTTCATGGCTTTTTTAATTCGACCGAATACCCTATGCAGTGTTGTAGCGGTAGTGGTAGACCTACACTTGGCATAGGTAATGGATATTTTATTGGGATCTATTCTGGCTTTCACATGAATGAATCAACCTTTTGAGTGTCTTTAGAAAAAAAGATGCTAGACCAATTGGTTTGCAGTCCTTAAGATTTCAAATGTACATACAACTTTAGAACTTTACAGGGCAATTCTGGCAACTGTCTTTCAATTCACCAAGGTCTTTCGTAAGACAATTATCAATTCGTGCAACTTTCTTGAAAGCTCCTTTCTGACTTTCGAAATACTAATTGAAAGATCTGCCACCGGATCACTGCAGCGTCTTCCAGGAAGGATAGAGAAGGTCTGGGGGCTCCCGCGACCTCGTGCCGTCTGCTGCTGTACAGTTGGGCCCAGCGAGGCGGTCTAGTGAGCTCTTGAGACTAAGCATGCTATATCTTTCGCTATTGCTTTTGATGGGGGCAAGCCTAAGGTTTAATAAGCACCTTAGGTCGCACTTTTTCGCACTCCTGATTAGCTTTCGGGAATGGAAATCAGTCGAGATTGAAGAGCTTCGTTGCGAGCACGGAGCGTTTCTCCTGCAAAAAGCCATAGGTGTCGTCATTCTCCCTTAGCTTCTCCGCCCCTATTTCCCTACCCTCCCATTCACCTTCCGGTATCCCTACATCCTTTTCCCACTCCCCTCTTAAGGGCATCACAATGAAAAGCTTAGTCAAATCTAAGTGGGCCTCCATCTACGGAGGCAGCCCGCTAAGCTAACCTTACCTGACAAGGAGGTCTTAGCGTTATTCTGTTTGTCTTTTAGCAGTAAATTTTTAATTAATGAAATTAAATAAAAAATATGCATAGATATTTTTACTTTTAAAACAACAAAAATTTAAAACTTAAAGAAAATTTGATTAAAAAGTAAAGAAAAAATTAAGAAAAAAGAAAAATTAAACAAAATAAAAATTAAGTGAAATAAAACAATATTTCCCTTTTTAAAACAAAAAAATCGAAAAGCTAAAGGAAAATAAATTTTGAAAAATTTAATAAAAAGAAAGATAAAATAAGTTTTAAAAAATTGAATAAAAAGAAAGATAAAATAAGTTATAAAATTTTATTAAAATTCGAAAGTAATACTTTTCCCTTTGAAACGGTTTAAAAATTAGAAGAAAATTAATTTGTTTAGAAAAGAAAAAATTAATAAATAATATAAAAATTAAATTAAATTAAAAAATATTTTTTTTGCAACAATAAAATCTAAAAATTAAAAAAAAAACATGAACTTTAAAAAAGGAAAATATGCATAAAATAACTTTCTAGACCTTAAATTAAATTAAAAAGTATAAACTTTTTTTTTCAAAATATCAAAATTCAAAAACTAAAAAATGTTACTTTTAAGCAAAAAACAAATCCGACTTCATTTCTCATATAAAACTTTTAGAGTACCGTTAATTTCTTCATCATCCAATGATCGGATCTAAACCAAATTTGTATGGGACCATCTCTGAGGTACTGCCTTTCCTTTTGAAAAAAAGGATTGTAGAAATCGGTTCACGTAGTCCAAAGTTATGCGGTAACATACACAAAAAAATATTTCGACGAATTGATAACCTCCTCATTTTTAACCGACTTCAAAAAAGGAAAAGGTTATTATTTTTTTTGTTTTATGTATGTTACCTCATAACTTTGGACAACGTTAACCGATTTCGATAATTTTTTTCATGTTAAGGGTGGTCCCACACTAGTTTTGTTTAGGTCGGATAATTTGATCATGAAGAAATTAACGGTACACCTAAATTTGTATCTATATGAGGATTCGAAAGAGCTTTTCGACATGAAACTTGACAAGAAGCTTTTATATGACTTTTATGCCAGAATAAACAAGCTATCTTGCCTACTCGCTTTCAATTGTCTTACAAACTACTTGCAACTATCTTAGCCAGAATTTCCCTGTTAATTTTGAACTTTAAAGATTACATCCACTGAAATTTCAATTTTTGAAGGTAGCGACTAGTCAGAAATTCCAAGTATTTTACCTACTCGAAGGCGATAAAAGCTGGTATGAGCTACCGAAAGCTAAATAGAAGAGTAGAAGAGATTTGAATGACAAAAAAAATGAACTATTTCATGTAGACGTCAGCTTGTCTCAATTTCGCTTTGCATTGCTTTACTAACTCCTGCGTCCTTTGCTTTTGCAATTGAGTTTTCGACATTCACTCTTTTCTTGTTTTCTTGATACATTCATCGCTGTAGCTATGTACATAACAATATCGTTGAATGCAAAGGTCACAAAACGGAGCAGCATAAAGGCAAAAAACAAAACACAAATCGAAAGAATGAATTGAGCAAACCAGTCATGGCGCATCGACAAGAGCAACAGCTGGCATAGCAACACAAGAATTGTACCTACTATGTAGCAAAAAAGCATCAGTCATGTTTAATGCCAGCGGTACGACAAAATGAAGCAAAACACGTTGACTAATAGACATCCAAATACTAAATACACAGCAGCCAACAACTGTGGTGCTGGCAAAGAAATAAAGACGAAAGCGACTCTCTATAGACCGAAAACAATCCACAATAAACAAAAAATGGCCAAAGGCTATATAACAATGGCAATGGCAACAAACCATAGAGATACGCATTCGATGTAGCAGAAATGTATGGAATACAAAAAAAAAGTACGCCAAAAAACAACACAATTGACGGCAATCAACGCGGATGTTTTGGGCTGTATGCGCTGGGCAAACCGAAAGCCTCTATGCAGTACGCATAGGCGCTCTATCTGAGCGTCAACCTGGCTCCAATGAACACAGCTTAGCTCATGAGTTTTCGAAGGATTTTAAACACACGTGCGCGCACACTCACACCCACAAAAGCACACACATACATACATACTTATTAGGGCGGGTCGATTTGTAGGATCCCAAAAAAATTAACAGAGGCACATCGCGAATATGATTATTTGAGTCATTTCAAGCATTTTTTCCCATTAGGTCTGAAATGAATTTCGAGCCAGCAATTTTTTCTATCTAGTTTTTTTTTTTTTTAAGTGGCTCACCTGTTGGAACAGCTGTATTGAAAACTAGCCAAAATGTGTATCTGGTGGTTTTTGGGGTCGAGGAATCCATTTCTGGCATTATTTTTTTCTTTTGAGGGCCGCCAGAGGGCGCTTCCGTAGTTTTTTTCGGATTTTAACGCCTTTTTTTCCGAAAATCGACAACATTCTTGCAAAAATCCACGAAATTTGACTTTATCATAATGCAACTCAATTTTTAAATAGTCTAAAATGTTCAGCATTGAAATTTTTTTTTATTTTTTATTTTTTTATTTTTTTTTTATTTTTATTATGACAAAGTCAAATTTAGTGGATTTTCGCAACAATGTTGTCGATTTTCGGAAAAAAGGCATTAAAATCCAAAGAAAGTACGGAAGCGCCCTCTGGCGGCCCTCAAGAGAAAAAATTAATGCCATAATTAGATTCCTCGGCCCTAAAAACTCCCGATACATATTTTTGCTAGTTTTCAATAGAGCTGTTTCAACAGGTGACACACATTTTGAAAAAAAAAACTAGATAGAAAAATCGCTGGCTCGAAATTCATTTTGCCTTTGATGCAAAAATTTTGACCCACTCTAATACTTATGCATATTTACGCACGCACAAAAACAGTCAGCCACTTTTCAAACAGCCTGTTTTCTGCTTTCCGGCGACACGCAGCATTCATTCCCGATTCAGCGAAGCATCCGCTCACGCACACACACACACACACAACCGCCCCCCGCACGCACTCACGCTCTCACGCACGTTCGCTTCAGGCGTAGTGCCATTAGCAATTTTTTGGGTGCGTATGTGTGGGTTGTTTTTGTACCGCCCTCCCTTTGCCCCCCTCCCCCCGCCTTAAATCATAGACCATATATGTATGTATACATATGTATGTTTGTACACATAAATGTCACCCCGCCCACATCACTTACCTCTAGCACAACACCCTCTAGCGTGGGCTGTGATATATTCTTCATGTTGCTGTGATTCAATTTGGGCGCACTGTCGGCGCGATTTCGTCCTAATGATTGATTTGATGTTTTGTTATCGGCTTTGCTCAACACAGAATTATTTGAGGATTTGTGATTTATATCCAGCGTTGAACGTAAAATGTCAACTTTCGAAGCGCTGCCAATGTGACTGCCGTGATGGCGTGGTACGCGTGTCGACTCAACATTATAGCTGCTGCGGCGATGTGACAAATGGTCGTGTATATCCGCCTGCGCGCAGGTGCAGTCAAGAATTGCAGAGAGATGAGGACACATTAAGCCAAAGGCAAGCAAGGTGTTGCGTAAATGGTGTGAAAACACGCAAAGGAAAAAAGAAAAAGAAAAAAATTTAATGAAATAAATTAGAAGGAAATTTGCGCAATTAAGAGGAGTGACAGAAAAATTCGTGAAAAATGAAAATGAAAGTGGAAATGGAAATGGAAATGATTGCGTGCCACCTACGATAATTGAGTTATACGAGAGCGGGTGGGGCGAGGAAGTCAGATTGAATTAAGCAATTTTATTATAGAAACTTTTTGACTTTTTGAGTTCCTCTTAAATTAAAAGCAATAATGAACAATTCCGGTTTCAAGTAAGATACAATGGCGGGCATAAAGTTAAAAGAAATGTAAAAAATCAAATGAAATGAGGTGACTTGACGTGGTCTGCGCTTCAAACACACTCAAATTAAATTACCATTCTCCAGCGAAGTGGCATTAAAATTACAAAAGAAGGCATCATTTACTTACCCTCGATCCACGCGGCAGTGATGTCAAGCTGCCAATTTGATTGTACTTAATCATCAGGCTGAGACGCTCCAATGACATTGATGTGCCTTGCTCTTTTGTCGCCGGTTCGGTTAGCTTCTCGGTTTCACCATTCTCTACCGCCTCTGCTTCCTCTTCGCAATCATCGAGATTGTGATCGAATTTACGCAACCAAGCCAAATGTAGTAGACCATAGGCAATGCCACCCACAACGGCTAGCAGACCCATATAACGGAAGGCATCGCGTGTACCAAATTGACCGATGAGTAGACCACCGGTAAAGGAACCGCTACCGCGACCTATTGTGAGTGGAAAAAATATTTGAAAAACATTTTTCAATTTAGTCTGAATGGAAAAGTTTATTGAATCATGTTATTTAACTATTTATCCTGGCAAAAAAATTATTCACTCAATCCCAAGTATGTGTGCCGAAAGTTAGTAGAATCTCTGGTATACTACGGTATTTCATCTTGGCTTCAGAGTTTCCCTTAACGCAAGGTGTTGTGCGGATCAAGTAAATCAAATCAAGTTTTCCATTAAGGTTTACGAATCGGTTTTTCCTGGCATTTTTTGGACCTTGATTTCAAAAAAGTATATTCCACACTTTATTCCACTAATTTAACAGCCATGAAGTTTTCAGAAGTCAAGTGCTTCATCAGGAAGCAATATCCTCGGTGATGGGGAGAGAATATCTCAAAACTCAGGAAATAGACTTTTCTACTAAAGCTAATCCACAGGTAACTGGCAGCCTTATAGAAATAATTTAAGACCTCGTTCAAAAACAGATTCGCAAAACAAAACAGAAATCTTGAGAGAATTTCTCGACTAAGAGTTTGAAGGAGACACTAAAATTCTGCTGCATATCTATCTTCCATGGAAGCAAAGGAGTACACCGTCCAATTAATAGTTTCGCTCCCTACAAATCCCCGGGTGTGGACGCAATCTTTTCCACAATGTGACAGAGGACCCACTCATTGGCGATTGCATGGTTGGATAGCGTGGTTTGGCAACATGGTAGACAAACGAAGAAATTCTCTTCCTAAAGACTTTGGGCCACACAGTCTATCGTCATTTATTCTAAAAGCTTTCGTTCAAAGCTGGGGAAGTTTTTGCGTAGGATGCTTTATTTAAAGGGGTGCACCACATAAACGGCCAATTATTACATACAGTGCGTTGGGTTGGTGGTAAGCCGTAGAGACGAACTATGTACATAGAAGTATGCACACCTTATTAGGGGGCTTTAGATCATGTCCAGCTAAAGCCTGTCATTTGTCTCCGATGGATATCTCTATCCGGAGTGTGCTTCAAGGAAATCGCTGAAGGTAAGGGAAGATTTGAAGAAGATTGCTGGATTTGACATGTCGTATTTTACTGAGGGACAGGTAAAAATATTCGACTGGGATTTCATGGGTGGACAAGGAAAGCTAGGGCTGCAATGAACAAAATGAAAGGACTGATAGCAGAAGGACCCATGTGAAGTGGCAATCATTGGCCAGATATTTAACTAGGTAGTTCTAGTTACATTGCACCCGCAGACGTTATCGTAGCCCAGGTAGTCCTACCCCCTGCTGAAGATCTCATAAACGAAAGAAAGCAAATATTTCATTTATGATTTCAATTTAATTGAATAAAATCTTTCAAGCAGGTGGCATCCCTCCTCAAAAATATCTTCGGCAGTAAATTTTCCTAAACCTCTTCAGTTTGATACCCATATAGCAATATTCGCTTTATCCTATCAATTAAATTAAATTAAAATTTGCAAACAGGTGGCAACCTTCAACCAAAATATTTTCGGCTGTCTGCCTTTCTTCACACAGCCATGATTTCAAAGAGCATTGGTCACTGGGTTTTAACGCTGTTCAACTACATAGTCTTGGAAGAAGCACGCCCTCACCTTAGGCTGATTTTTGAAATATTCACTGGTCATTATCTCCAGCATACCAATTACGTTGAATTTGCCGCCGAGAGGAAGAGGAAATTGAAAGCGTCGAGCGCTTTCTCTGCCACTCTTCCGGATAAGCCACTTAACATTACTTAACTTAAGCAACGGTTTCTTAGTATCTTGAGACTACGGCTCAATAGCGACTTCACTTTATAATTTAAGTTGTATTGGAGAGAAAAAACCTATAAATTTCTTCATCCGATTCGAAATACATCACAGATTCCGTGATTCTGGCACTGGTTTCTTCCGGGTGTCAGCTCACACTTACCCAAACTGAAATGTGCCATGCCCAGCACGCCAATCAATGTAGCCAACAGACTCTTCGGCGCCAAGATGGAGCAATAGGTAGCAGCAGCTACCCACATCAAATGGCAGGAGAGAGCTTCCATTGCCTCGAAGGGAAAACACCACCAAGCATTTCTATAAATAGAGCACAGAATAAATAAAAAATTATTAAATAAAATGCCAAAGCAACGCCAATCAGAATGACGCCAATCAAAATCAGAGGTACGAACTTACTCAATGAATGAATAACCCACTAGACGGCCCGCATGCGAAAAGAAGGCAATGATAATCAAATTAACATGTCCAAAGATTCGGGTAATGCGTTCAGCGCCATACAAGAACGGTATACTGCTTACCGTGCCCACGGTGATGGTGATACCTGCAAAAAATCAAATCGAGCAAATCAGCAAACGAACTACATACCAAATGCAACGGGCAACAAGCAGCGTCCAACACAAATACGACTACTATAAATGCAAGTTGAATTGTCACTCGAACAATGAAATTTGATTGCAACTGAATTTCCATTTGATTAGCTGTCACTCAAGCAAGCCAAGTGAACAAACAAATGAAATAAACGTGTCCAATTACAAAAAAAAAAAAAAATTTACTGCACTTACCAAGCAAATAATTTGGTGCACCCAACTCTTTCAAATATAGAAATAGGAAGCTCTCTATAAAGCCCCAGAAGTTGCCCAGTATAAATAGGAAGAAGATGAATGTAATGACATGCGGCATCTTGAGTAGATTCCACAAATCTCGAAAAACATTATCCGCCGGCAATTTATCGCCCAATGGCATCATTAACACTGACACTGTCGATATAACCAACAACAAATCGTAGGTGTAGAAAGCGGCCGAGTAGTCTGTGTAGCCAAGACCACGCGAAGAATAATCAATCATTATGCCTGTAATTGGCGAAAAAATGGCCATGCCAATGCTGGAGAAAAGCCGCTCACGCCCAAAATCGCCACCATATTTCTCAATCATAGTCAGCGCAATGGGATCCATTATGGTGACACCAGCTGACAGCATTGTGGTGGCAAGGAATCTGTTGAGGAAAAAAAAAAAATGAAATGCATACATCATTTTATGAAGGTAATTTGCAATCGAATAAAAATATAAATGTTAAACGTTGACATAGCAGGGGTCGATGTATGTATGTAAACTAAATTAATATTAGCAGAGTCAGTGGCGGACCCAGGTAGGGGAAATTGGGGACAGTTGAAAGTCACAGCAAGTTTGAATATTTTCAAAGGTTCAGAAAACAACGGAAATTCCAAAATTTTGAATTTTATAATATTATTAAATTTCTTGAGATTTCTTATTTTTGGGATAATCTCCAAAATTTCAAAAACTAGAAATTTTTATATTCCAAAATTTTGAGAATTTTATTTATCCTAAAATCCATCCTAAAATGTAAAAATGTGAAACATCAAAAATTGTCTCTTATGTTCATGTACTCGTGTGTAAAAAATAAAAAATTTTTAGAATCCTAAAAGATATTAACATTTTTGAAAAATTCCAAAATTGTTCCACTTTTCTGAACTTTTCCAAAATTTTGTATTGATATATCAAAGTTTGAGAATTTAAAATTTTTTGAAAATTTTGAAAACATCAACGTTCAAAAATTTTTTGAATCTTCAAGAATTACGAAAAATTTTTTAATTTTCAAAAACGACGATATATGAAAATGTTTTCAACATTCGAAAACTTTTAATTTCGTTTGATCAATTTTGTATATTCGACACTTTTACTTAGAAAAAATTTGTTAGAATTCCTACAATTCTCAAAATTGTTGAAAAATAAAAAACTTCTAGAAATCTAGTATTCATCATTATATTGAATTAATTGAGTTATTGGCATTTACTAAAATTTCTCCAATTCACAAAGTTTTGAAAGTTTAGAAAATTTTGGAATTCCACTCAAGTTATTAAAAAGGGGAAACTTCAAGAAACTAAAAACTATCAAAACTCTAAAAATTTTAAATTGCGGTAATTTTTTTTTTTTAAATTTATATACACGATATATGTTGAAAAAAATCGGAAGCCAAATTTGCCTTAGTATCGGGTTTCGATACGAGTATTTGTTTTTTCCAAAATCACTTGGTATCGAACGAACATCGATCGGGTATGTACTTGTACTCGTGTCATCATCCCTAGTTACATAAGGCGCACAATATCCAAATGAAAGCCCTCGCACACTACGCCTTCCACTCCCACAAAAGCACTGGAAATCTGTGAATCAGTAATAGCGGGGAAAATTAATTATTTAGCTGAACTCAGGGTTTATGCGTCCCATTCTGTTCTGCATCACGGCATCACAATTTGGTACAATAAACAAAGAGTGGCATGAAGGCGGTGCATGATGATCACGGTAGCTTTACCATCAACGCCGACTAAAGCCGTATAGACCTTTAGAGCTCGTCGACGCTCGTACCTCCAGTATTTTTGTTAATGTCTGGTTGAACTGGATTCAGCCAGTATAGAAGATTTTGTGTATTTCATCAGAGCTACAAGTTGATTATGCTATTTATAAGGTAAGAGCAGGGAAAAAAGCAGTCTCTAATATGGCATTACAATGGGCCCATGGTGATTTAAATGTGCTCTATTCCTTTGCTGGTTGAGGGCATCCAAGATAACCTAACCTCACCTACTTAGTTGCGTCTGCATGGGTTTGTTGACTAACGATTTTACAGCAACTGTAGATATAGACTAGGTGAGTAGTATTTAGTAGTAGAAGCGACAGTTTGGGTCAGGTATAAAACAACATTAAGCATGACTTCAAAGAAGCCAATTTAATAATGCCCGGCAACTGGTGGCGGAGGCAGCGGCTCTTGCATTGGCTTAGACCACGGATACACGGAGAGATGGAGCTATGTATAGTCATTGAGCAGATGGGTTCGAGCCGCCCGTGTGATTGCTGACAAATCAGCTTTAATGCTTTAAAGACCTTAACCTGATTGCTCTATATTAAGACACATCCTCAATTCTACGTCTTGACTTAAGGAAAACCAGGAAAAATACCTTTTTGAAGTGAAACTTCTTTAGCGGCGGTAAATTGGCAAATTCAACGGAAATTGCACACGCAAATGGTGCAATGGAAACGGTGCAACGGAAACGATTGGGACTGAAACAAGTGCTTCTTGCGTGTATGCATATGGTATCAATTTTACAAAAGTTTGCTAATAAAAGATTTAAGAATAACACTTAGAAAAGACCAATACAAGAATGAAAGCAAAGGTGACTACGTACATAGATAAAGAAAAGGATAAAGGCAAAGGTAAAAATTAAAACAAAAACAAAGATGCGTAAAGATAAAGGCAAAAATGAAGACCAAGGTAAATTTAAACACTTTACTTATATGTATATATAAGGGCAAAGGTGAAGGGGAATATGTAGATGAAGAAAATGATAAACATAAAAGTAAAGACAAAGACGAGGATGAGGATATCGATAAGAGCAAAGATGAAGACTGGGGAAGAAAGATTAAAATAAAGGTAATTAAAGAGGAAAGGATATAGAGAAAGACACGGAGACTCAATCTGGGAACTATTTTGGGATTTTAGAGATTTTCGGGATTCTCGGGACTTATCAATAAAGTAATCGATATTTTTATCGGTTTTGTTATCGATATTTTTATCGATTTTTTCATCGAAATTTTTATCTCTATTGCTATCAATTTTGCTATCGATATTTTTGAAACTTATCATTATAATGATCGATATTTTTATCAGTTTAGTTATGGATATCTTTATCGATTTGTTATCGACTTTGTAATCGATATTTTTAACTATTTTCTTAGCGACATTTTTTATCGATTTTTTATCGATATTTTTATTGATTTTGTTATCGATACTTATCGATTTTGTTACCGATATTAATCGATTTTGTTATCGATATTTACCGATTTTGTTACGGATATCTTTATCGGTTTTGTAATCGATATTTATCGATTTTCTTACCGATTTTGTTATCGATATTTGTTGATTTTGTTATCGATATTTATCAACTTTGTTTTCGATATTTATCGACTATGTTATCGATATTTATTAATTTTGTTATCGTTATTTATCGATTTTGTTAACGATATTTTTATCGATTTTGTTATCGATGTTTATCGATATTGTTATCGCTTTTGTTATCGATATTTATCGATTTTGCTACCAATATTATTATCGATTTTGGTATCGAAATCGAATTTTTCATCGATTTTGTTAATGATATTTTTATCGATATATCTATCGATTTTGTTATGGATATTTTTATCGATTTTGCTAGCGATATTTTTATTGATTTTGTTATGGATATTTTTATCCATATTTTTATCGAGTTTCTAATAGATTTTGCTACCAATATTATAATCGATTTTGGTATCGAATTTTTCATCGATTTTGTTATCGATATTTTTATCGGTTTTGTTATCGATATTTTATTGGATGTTACTACCGATTTTGTTATCGATAGGGTGTAAAGATAAAAATGAAGATAAAGGAAAACAGAATAACATAAATGTAATTAGAACGAACAGGGGTAGAGGTAGGGATCTAGATAGAAAAAAGACAAAAAAATATAACCTTAAGCAAAAGCAGACGTATGTATGTATGTATGTATATTGGTTATGAGACAAAGTAGATATGTATGTACGTAGGTTTCACTTCTCCAGTGTGGCCCAGGCGCACTTCTTCTCCGCCTTCGAAATGATTACATATTAGGCTGTTGGGTGAGATTTTTTGTGAACTGTGGTCTTTAATCTGCTCTGGTTTATTCGTACGACGGTGTCTAGTGAATAGGAAAGATTTCGAACGAAAATGGAAAACGCCAGCTATTCTATTCCATTTTGATGAAAAAGTGTCTTCCCCCCATATAAAATACTTGGAAGACTTCATAGGCTTTGAGGCATTTCTAAATATATTTTTTTTACAAAAAAAGTACAGGTATTCCTTTTTTCGATTTAGAAAATCCTAGGCGGTGAGAGCTTAACATTTAGATTTTTAATTTTTTCCACCCAAATGTACATACATACATGTACTTAAATTTTTCTTTTGTGTATATTTTAATTTAGTCTTTTATTTTCTAACGCATCCATTCCAATCTTCCCCTCTTTTTCAGTGCCAATCAGTATTACGTGAGTGAGATAGCTTTTAACCAACTTCACTTTCATCAACACGTACATACTCACCCATCCACTCATCCCCAACTACATGCCTACACACTTACCTCAACAAGAAGTAAATCCAGAAAACTCTATCATCTGATTCTTTGTAATCCGGTGGACAAATCTCCGGTGCATTCATTGTAAATATACAACGCTGTACCATGCAGTTGACAGTCTCATTTGTGAGTTGTGACATATTGGAGCGACGCACCAAACCGCCGCAACGTAGATCCAATTCATCCAAATCGGTGACATTGATTTGCATCTCCCACAGACGTTTCTCACCGAAGCGTTGCTTGAAATCGGTCACTGTCTCATTGTCATCCGGTTCGATTTCCATGCCCAATTGCTCAATGGGGTCAGCCAAATCTGGATGCATTTGAAGCATAAAATAGGCAGCATCACTGCCATCGGAATGTACCCAACTCTTGGGGTTGTAGTAGACGCTATCGTTACCCGGTTCGCCTGCTGCTTCCACTGATTGTTTGTAGGCAAAGCATCATACATACATTGTGTGAGGGAGGGGTAAAGAAAATAGAAAAGAAAACACAATTACATGATTTTATGTACATACGTATGAATGTTTATCTAATATAAGAGAGAAAATTCGCAATACAGAGGATTGTTAAAAAAGCGCACAACTATACAAAGGGGCACGTAATCTAATGGCGTATGTGCTTGACATGTGTACGCTCTAGTTGCACACATTCATTCAGTCATGTGCAGAAATATAGATATTTTTACACAATTGACATGCAGATACATAAATATACATTTACAGTCAGTCAATAAAGTTTAGGTACAGCGAATTTTTTACAATAATTCTTTTAAGTATTTTATTTTTCGCTAATATTTTTATAAAAATATGGTTAAATCTACAACAAAAAACCCAAAATCAGAGTTCCAAACCTTAGGCAAAAGTAAAGAAAATTCTGCAAATTATCATCCAAATCTTGCACTTTTTATTTACACTGTTTAGAAAAAAGTTGAGTATGCAGTTTGGCCCATTCAATTTTAGTATAATAAAGTGCAAGTTTGAGGTAGCTAGGACTTACCATTGATTTTTAGTAATTTTTTTTGTTGAAGGTCTCGCTCATTTTCTCCATATAAAATAATGTTTGATACTTTTTTATATGGAAATATGTGCGACACCTTCAACCAAAAAATTTCCCAAATATGATAAGTCCTAGCTTCCTAATACTTGTACTTTATTATACTAAAATTGAATAGGCTAATAAACTGCACACTCAACTCTTTTCTAGAGAACGTAAATCAAAAGTGAAATATTTGAATGAAATTTTGCAGAATTTTCTTTAATTTTGCACAAGGTATGGAACTCTGATTTTTAGGGGTTTCGTTGTAGATTAACCATATTTTTATCGAAAATGTGCGAAAAATAAAATATTTAAAAAATAGTTGCCCATATTGTAAGAAATTCTCCTAAACTTATTTGACTGACTGTATGTATAGTGTACATACATACATATGTATATCCTATGCCATGTGTTGGGCCGACCTTCGCCTTCGATTTTTTTATTAGATTCTTTTGACGCTGTGCCCGAATGAAGCAGACCTTCAGACATACACAAGCCACTCTTACCGGCAGTTAAGACTTAAAATAAGTTTTTACGCAGCAGAACCACATTCTGAGCTTTGCCTGCCGCTGAGCGATCACTTTTAGACAGAACTCTTTCATAAACCAGCCTTGGAACTCGGAACTAATCATTTGGTTGGCTTGCACAAACAACTCAGATGGGACAAGCATCATTCACACATGCATACATATATGTAATTACATTAAGGTGGTCTAAAAAGAGTTTAAAATGTTAAGCTCCCACCCCTAGGATCTTTCTAAATGTAAAAAACGAATGCACATATTTTTCTGTTAAAAAAAAAATTTATATTTAGAACTGCCTCAAAGCCCATGAAGTTTCCATGTAGTATTTTATATGAGGATAAACACTTTTTCGTAGGAATATAAATCTTGAAAATCAATGTTTTTCTATACCATTTCTACGAAAAAGTGTTTTTTCCCATATAAAATACATAAAAAACTTCATAGGCTATGAGAGAGTTTTAAATATAACATTGGTTTTTAACAGAAATATATTCGTTTTTTCCATTTAGAAAAATTCTAGGGGGTGAGAGCTTAACATTTATACTTTTCTTCCCCGCATGTATTTTTGTACCGCCCTAATGTAACTACATACACATCCATATAAAAACCAGCATTGGAACATATATTTAATCCCAGCAAACATTTGTAGTCGTAAATGAGTCTTTACGGAGTCCTATTTCGGAGCCTTTACGCTCGTATGAGCTCATTTAAGAATCCGATATGAGGGTGTTTCCCTTCCTCCAAAGGTCGACTTATACGAGCTTAAATTCATCCATCAAATGAGCCTCAATTTAAGTCATAATGAACTCTTATTGGGGTCATATGCGGTTGATTTTGGTCTCTTTTAAAACAATTTTTTGGCCTCATATATGAATCAATTCAAACTCCTTTTGAGGCTCTTATTGGCCTCATAAATGACTACATTAGGCCACTTATTTTAGGCTGTTCTTTGAGTCTAATTGAACGCACTATATTTGCAAAGGTATTCACCAAAAATAGCATATATGTATAGGTGCTGACTCATAACTTGGATCATATATGACTCCTAAAAGATTCATTTAAGGTCACACCTAGGTCTCCTTCTCAGAATATGTTTGTGGGGTAATTTCTATATTGGCAGTAACCTATCCGCGCAAAGTGTTTGGATTCAGCAATCAGAGAGAGATAGTTTTGAGTCAAGTGTACGTTTTGCGCATGCGCAGGTTTTTCATGTATATGTGACAAATACATTCACTCGAGTTTGAGGATTATCTTACTCCGGGGGCTTAAGTCCCTTTGTTGACGATGTTTACTTATGCAAACTGAAACTTTATGATGAAGTATTAAAATTTTATTTTAAAGCTACCAGGAAATTAAAAAAACCATTTTGAAAATGCTTGAAATGGTTAGCACTTGATTATTTTTGAATGTTTAGTTCAAACATATATTTCCATTTTTCACTGAGTACAAATTTACTGACTAACCAGGTAAAAACGAATAAAAAACCAGAGTGACTCACACTCAAAATTGTAGTGATCTTTATATAATATTTGCAATGTTTTTATTTTGATTTTTTTCGCTATTTTTTTTATAAAAGTAGGCTCATTATCTACCAAAAATTATATAAATCAAAATTCTAAAATTTGTGCAAAAATTAAAAAAATCAACAAAGGTTCATTAGAATTGCAAACTTTTTAGCTAAAATTTCTAGAAATTATCTTCGTACCAAAATACGCACGTAAAGATATATATTATTTAATTTATCCGCTCTTTTTGACTTTAAAATATATATTTACGTAATACTTCTTACTAATACTAATATTGGCAGCAAGCTAACTGCTCAATATGTAAGCATTCCGAAATCAAAACGAGATGCTTAAAAATCATCTTTGCGATATTTCTATAATTTAATTTATTATAAAACTCATGAAATTAAATAAAAACTCAAAATTCTCTGTAATTTACCTTTAAGGTACCGCCACTGCGATTTGTTTTAATTTCAAGTTTAATTTTTTACATACGATTACTAGGTCTTCGTTTTCTTTTTTTTATTGTATATCTGTACTGTAATGTTTGCTGACTGCACTTGTAGATACTGCCAATATAGGAGTATTACAAATATGCATTGAAATGTTTGAGTTTCGTGTTGAATACTAAAATGGCAATAAGAATGACAGTCATACAAATAAGAATGACAAATCGCCAAATATGTGTAGTCAGGCAGAAATTTTGTATGGCAACAGGAATACATCACAACAATAACAATTACATATGTATATGGACAGAAAATATTATTCGGCTACACATACTAAAAGCAATTGCTTTCATGTTTTTAGTGACGTTGACTTGTGGAAAGTTGCGTGTACTAAAGATATGGAATAATATACAAGGATTTAACAAAATTTAAGTAGTAAGTAAATTTTTGTGTTAATTTATTTTCCTAAGACTATTTTAATTGAACTGATTTCGAATCGACTATATCTGTTCCATATTTGAAATGTTATACATATATGATTTTCAAGATTTTTTTGCTTCCTGAATGCAAATTCCTGGTCATGGCTAAGCTTTTCCACACTCTGTTGTCATCAGGATATTGCTAAAGTGCATTTAGTTGAATAATAAATGTTTTGTGTGGATCCCACGCGCACCCGAATTGAAACTTCTTCTATCCCTATTACCCGTATTACAATATTATAAGTGAACTCGTTAAAACGCCAAAATCGAATTAAACATTTTAAACAGGTGGCAACCTTCTTCAAACACCTGAAATTTATTTTAAATATTCAAACTAAATATTTCTTAACAGCCTTTCGTTTGACACCCATAATTTAAAATTTCAAATAACTTCTGCATAATATAATTTAATTCGAATTTTCAAACAGATGGCAACTATCTTTTTAAGTTTCGCGATATTTCGAATAAAAAAAGAAGGCGCCTGTTCCAAGATGGGCTTGAGAGACTTAAATTTAGATGTCGTTACCGGCGCCTGAAATTTTCATTTTTCACTAACTTCAAAAAAAGGATTTTTCGATAACCATGTTTTTGCGGAAAAACAATGTGGTTTCTATACCACAATTTAAAGCACGTAATACCGAATTTTCGGAGCCGGTATATATGCTTTCCGAACATTTATACGTCCTTAACATAATGGTAAAAGCCTCACAGGAAGATCATTTAAGGAATTTTAAGTTTGTGAATGAAAAAAATGCAAATTTTAACAAGGAAAAAATTTTTAAATAATTTTTTTTTTTTGTAAATTCTTTTGATTCGTGTAAAAGCCTGCCCTCTTACAAAAACATAGAGCTATCGACGAAATAAATTGATTGATAAATAAAGTTGTAAATGGCCAAAGGAAAATGCGCAAAAATTTCGTTTTTATGATTTCATTAATAGTATGAGCAACATTCTTCCGTAGTCTCTTCTTCTTTATTGGCGCCGTAACCACGATTTTGGCCCGAGTCCAAAACAGCACGTCAGTAATTTCTCTTCTATGCCAAGTGAAACCAAGTACTTCTCCAAGTCAAGATTTGTATGAAATTAAAAAACCGGTTTGTTTGACCAAAAAAGTTCTGTTTGTTCTATATTCCAAAAATCCAGATTTCAATAAAACCGCCTATAGATATCCAAAAAAACGGTGGAAACCAGTTTAAAAAAAAAACCTGAGTTAATCACTCTAAACTCGAGCTCTTCTTATGCGATAGGTGGCTTTGCTCTCCAATAATGGAGTTCAAGGGTTGAGAGGCCTCTGCTATTTAGTCGTTGTAACCTATACTAAGAATTTTTGCTTTACAAACCGTTTTTTTTTTTCTTTTCAACGACATTTTTGCATTGGCCAACGCAAAAGTTCTTATCAACCGCCGCGAACCAAGCGAAAATTGGCTAGTTTTCACGTAAAAATTATACAAGTTTTGTGCAGAAACTATTCAAAGAGGCTATAATTTTCATTTTTAAAGGCATACTCTTCTTTATTATGGCCAATATCTCGACAAATCCTTTAACAAAAAAATTTTGCAATCAAGTTCGATATTTTTTGTACCACCCCCACACATTGTACACTCAAGTGGGAAATTTGAAATGCATAGAGTTTGTTATTTTCACGCCTGGCTTATATTTCTGTTTTGTTGTGTTTATGCATTCATACTTTGTCACTTTTCATGCTTGCACTCGCACTCGCATTCACACGAACTTGCATTCACACACACACACATACACACATTACATGTCACTTCACACTTTAGAAATGCACTAGACTACATCAATTGTCCATTTTACAAGCGTTTATGCATTCATTTATTCATTTCATACTCCCAAATACAAATAAAGCCACAACAAGGCAGATATATGTACACATATATATGTGCATACTTCCATGTATACTCTGTAAGCATCAGGGTAGCCAACTCATTTTTTATAATTCCCCGATTTCGACTATGAAATTCCCCAATTTTGCCCGAAATTTCTTAAAATTCCCCACCCACAGATATCTTTTTATTTACAAAAAAAAAATTATGTATTTTGATGTATCGCTGGTCATTCTGTTTATTAACGGACTTCCAAAAAAGGAGGAGGTTATCAGTTCGTCGGAATATATTTTTTTTTTTTTTTTATGTATGTTACCGCATAACTTTGGACCACGTCAACCGATTTCGAGGTAGTCCCATACTAATCTGGTTAAGATCCGATCAGTGGATCATGAGATATATATATATATATTTTTTTTTTATATGAGAGTTGAAGTCGGTTTTTTTTTGCTAAAAATTACTTGTGTTTTATAAATTTTGTTAACATAGAATAAAAATGTCCATATAATATTTCCACACAAACAGTGGTCGAGTGGTATTTTTGGTCTAATTTGACCGGACTATTAGTCGCACCAAATTTTAAAAATTTAGAAACTTTATTTTTATTTTTTTTTGTTATTTAATTTGAATTATTTTTTATAAGAATAGAGTTCATTCTTTAACAAAAAGCGTTCAAATCCAAGTTTAAAACTTTGTACAATAAAAAAAAAAATCAACAAACTTTCGTAAAAATTTGGAGCTTTTTAATTCGATTTTCTAAAGAAATTTTGAGTATGCAGTTTTATAGCCCACTCAATTCTAGAACAAAGGAGTGCAAGTTTCAAGTGTCTAAAAATTTTCGTTTTAGAATTTTTTTGCCGAACATGTTGCGGTTTTCTTCCATATAAAATAAAGTGTGTTTATTCGTAATTAAAGAAAATTCTAAAAAATTAAATATACTAGAATTGAACGAGCTACACAACTGCATACGGCTCATTCCACGGTGACGAGTGTGACATCTCAACTTCTATTTTTTTTAAATCATTATGAAATTAAGGAAGCAAAAAAGAAAAAAATTACACCTAATTCTTCACAACACACAGTTTATCCCCCCGCTTCTCCATGTACACTGAAATTTCCCACAAAAAACGGTTATTTCCCCGATTCCCCACGATATCTGAAATTCCCCGCAAATCGGGGAATTCCCCATGAGTTGGCTTCCCTGTTAGGCATGCACCCACTAATCATACACACATACTCGTGTGTGCATATGTACTTGAAACGCCGAAAGGGCAGAAGGGACGGTCATACTGAACGACAGAGTACACATGTTTTTCGCACATAGTAAAGTACTTGTATGACTGCATAGAAATGCATGTACATACATATGTGGCACTTAGAAATGTCCATATAGACATATGTACATATGTACACACATTTCGATCGCAAATAGTTAAGCAAACAAACAAGCAAGCAAAAAGTCACACTGAAAACCCAACCGACAGGCAGACAAAGCTAAAGGCAAGCAGGTCATAAAGTAAACTTGGCAGTCATGGCAACACAAGCGCAAATACGCACACGCACGCACCCACACACCCACACACCCACACACCCACACACACTCACACAAGCCCGGAGCCAGCAAGAAAGCACACAAGCACGCAGGGTAGCTTTCGACTGTCACTTACAATTCCATCCCTGCTCCAACTCTGACAAGGCCGAAGAAGACGTCACCACCGGCGGGAACATTGTCGCTGACATATTAAGTACATCTTGGAAACGGGCCACTGAGCTGGGTGTTGTAAAAGCGGCCGCCGCAGCTGCCGCTGTCTCAGCACGAGCGGCTGCCGCTGCTGCTGCTGCCGTTTCAGCAGCTTTAGTTGTTGTGCTGCGCACTATTGATGTCACCAATGATGGCGGGGTCGGAGGCGAAAGCGTAGGTGAAGATGAAGACGTAGGAGTCGCGGATAACGATGGATCCATCCACGTTGTTGTCCATGTTGCTGCGTCTATGGCTGTGGCTGTTGATACTGGTGTCGGTGTTGGTGTTGGTGACTCAGCGGTGATTGCCATTGTTGCTGTGCTTGAAATTGCGCTCATTGTTGTTGTCCTTAGTGTAGTTGTTGGCGCGCGTTGCGTTGTGGAATAGTAATCGGGCGATGGACCATATAACGAAGGCTTCGCTGGCAAATTTGTTTGTTGCTGTTGCTGCTCTTGTAACAGACAATAATCCACACATTGACTCACAGCCAAATCAAGCTCCGGCTCCTCAGGGCATTCGCGGCTGGGACACGGTGACCACCAGACCTGCATATGAAAGAGTAGAAAAAATTGTGTGAGTAGTTATAGTTAAGTAGTAAATACTTGCACGTTTCTTCATATTTATGTATGTATGCATGTGTGGATGTTTGTGGGTGTAGCAAAAGGAAGAACAAGCATAGCGTGTTGAAAAGGCTGTGTTCGACAACAACGTAAGTATTTTTGGATTGTTGCGCAAAAAAGGAACGCAGAATGGTGAATGACAAGTGGTGAATGGTAAGATATTTTTTATACGTATGTAGGTATGTACATTAGGCTGGAACAAAAATGCTGGTGAGAAAAGTATAGTCGGAATTTTAATGCTCTCACCACCTAAGATCATTCTATGTACACAAAATATACCCCCAATTTTTTTATAAAAAAAATATAGAGGTTTTTAGGGGACCCATAAAAGATATTTAGTAATAAAAAATAGTTAAATAAAGAATTGGCTATTATTCCTCGAAGTATTCTAAAGAGAAACAAAGTTTGCCGATTCGAAAATATAGTTCTTAAAGGATTTTATTCTATTTCTACGAAGAAAATTCTTCCCCATATAAAATACCAGAAAAATGTCAGCGCTTTGGGCGACCTCTATTTATTGATTTAAAAAAAGGGATATTTTTTCGTTAAAGAATAATCCTAAGTGTGACAGCATTAAAATTCTGGCTTTACTTTCTTTGGACCACCCTAATGAACATCAATTCATATTTATAGAGAATGTAGAAAATTGGTGCAGTCACCTCCTTTGGGGCATGCCGCATGTCACATGAATTCACAAGTCGGGTGCATTCACATTTGCAGACAATTGTGAAGAAAATAAAACAAAAAAGCATTCTGTGCAGTATTGAATTTTTCTCTTCAAATCGGCTGTTTTAAATTTCAGAAAAATAATCCTAATTCTACGAATGTTTTTAAAAAAAAACTTAATTTCGAAAATATTTTTAATAAGGCTTGCCACCTTTTTAAAAGTCAAATTCCTTTACTCAATAAGTTATACAAAGTATGATAATGTGGTTCCCAAATAAGATTTAAGATAGATATAATTTGAAAATGTTTTTGAAGAGGATTGCCACCTTTTTATAAACTAAATTTTTTTTAATTTACAAGTTAAACACAAACTTACAATACGAACGTCAATCTAAAGATAATCATCCTTATAAGAAAGCTTTGTTTCAAAAGCATTTTTAAAAAGTGTTGCCACCTGTTAAAAGACAAATTTCACTTAATTAATCAATTAAATCAAATATAAGGACATATGTACATGTCCAACAAAAGATGTTTAAATAAGATGTAGTTGGAAAAATTTATTACAAAGGGTTGCCACGCTTATAAAAGTAAAACTTCATTGTTTAATGAGTAATTGTGGGTATACGGAAGACACAATGGCAGTCTAGGTTGGCGGTAAAAAAATATATGGTTTCACGAGTTGTAGGTGGGGTCCACGAAAATTTATCTGGTTTCCATAGTAAATAATAAAAATGTTTGCTTAGCTTTATCTACCAGTGTAGGCAGATGTACTCAAAAAAATTATTTAGATGAAAAATGGTCGAGTTGGGGCTTAAAAAAAAATGAAGCTTTACTGCTCTAATTTTCAGATTTCTTGGCTAAGGTTCTCATGTCAAGAACAAAATATGTATTTTCTTTTTTTTTGGTCCACGGCCTTGAACAATGGATCAGATAGCCTCTTTAATTATCATTTATTTCCTATTTTTAAAATCTCACTTATATTTTTTTTTAATAGATAGTGAGGTTGTTCATACTTACCTGGTTATCAGGTTATGTGGCTATATTTTTATTCGGTTTACAACAATAAAATACACTACACAATAATAATTTTTACCAGATAACCAGGAAAGTGTGAACAACCTCAGTGTATTTTAAGACAGACATGGCAAAAATTAAAGTTACATCTTCCCTCTCACAACAACAACTCAATTCAAGGGCAGTCAAATTTGATTCTCTCTTTTGTGAGTTAAAAAAGAAAGACCGCTATTCAACTAAATTTATCTTTAATACAACTCAGTTTTTTCGCCTCTATATTTATCTCACGCTCTCAAGGCATTCAAGGCATTCAAAATGTTACTCCTCATAAAATAGCGTTCTGTCTCTTTTTCTTATATAGCTTTCATAAAGCAGTAGTTTTAGTGGTTGATAAACTCATTAAAGCAGTAGGAGCGCTTATTGAGCAATTATTTTATGTATGCTCTACAAAATCTTAAATTTTAGTGTCAAAGCTGGAAGTCCGCCTCAAAATTAGGTATTTTCGCTTAAAACTTTTTGAAAAAAAGGCCAATGTTCCGATGCCCAAGACGATCTATATGAGATTATTGTTTTTACCACGAGATGGATGGTATAAAATTGGTTAAATTTAGATGCTTCCTGACGGCATATTTTTTATTAGATTTCGCTTTAACTCTTTTTATTGGATAAATTATGCCAATTTTTTCGATCTTTGCCGACTAAGGCGGCACTGTATGACGCGTCAAACATTTCTTTACTGCTATTTAGATTTACAATAAAATCAGCGATTAGTAAGTAGATTGCTCGAATAAAATGTCAACATAAAACGATAAACTTGGTATAAAAACGCAAAGATGACATATTGATCCCATAACAATGCAATGAGCACTGCACTTGCCCGTTAGCATGGTACAGAATCGTACAAAAAAAATTGTTGAATGCAAAAATATCGATGCTGCGCCAAATCCATATCAGCATTGTACGACTGCCATGAAATGCATATGAATACGCTTACACATGTGTAAAACATGCTATATCAAGATAACCTGGCAACTGCTTGTGCAATAAATTTGTATTCACATGCATATAAATAAATACATGTATTTGCATACCTACATATGATATACATATACATATATGGGTCAATCTATGTCAAATCGATCAATCGTTGGAATCGGCCATTTTCGATTTGAGCGATTTTGGTCAGAGCTTTTCTTTTACAATATAACGAAGTTCTGCCACGCAAAAAAAAAAAAATTTTTTAAATTTCAAAAGATCAAAATTTCAAAATTACCCGGATTTACCAAGTTTATTTATTGAATGTCTCATAAACTATTATAGTTAAAAAACTGGTTCGAGTCTGGTTTTAAAGTTTATACTTGAGGTTATTTAAAAAAAATATATACATATCTTAAATAAATCGAAAAATAAAAATCGTTAAAGCCAAACTTGGATAAGTTGTGGGCTAAATTTTTTTAAAACAATTATTCTAAAAGATGCAGATTTTTTTTTGAACATTGCAAATAAAATTTTTTCACAAACCCTAAATTCAAAATAAGTTTTTCTTAAATCAAAACTGTTTAATATAACCTTATTTAGAGCTTGCAATAAAAAAAACAAAAAAATTAAAGCTCAAAATTCATATCTTAAAAAAAAATTTTGAAAATTTTAAAATATTTAAGATCAGTTATAAGTATTGCATAAACAATGCAGCCAAACATTTTTAAAAGTTTTTAATTTTATGATATTTCGGAAATTCTGTAAATTTTTTTTTCCATTTTTCTTTATATATGTACATATTTTTTCTTTATATCCCTTAATATCACCTTTAAAACGAGTTTTGAGTTGTTCCAAAAATAAACTTTTAGAACTTTGCTTAACTTTTGAAAACAAAATTTAATTTTTATCCTTCAGCAGAGCTTCATTATGGATTGACCCATATATACATATGTATGTTACGAAAGGATGCCAGCACACATTTGACTCCTTCATTTGTATTGGTCCATTCCATTGCTACTCCTTATTTTACAGGTTTTACTGCTAATGTTGTTGTTGTTGTTTACTTCTTGGCAAGCTTCTAAAATGCGACCAACTTTACGCAGTCTTTGTGGTTTTTCCACCCGGAAAATAGCAACCTTGCCAACAGCTCGGTAGCATTTTTATTAGCCACTCGACATTTTAGCTTTTGCACGTTGCAATGGATCATGTTTTCTTATGTTGAACAAATTGTTGTTGGGGATATTAAATGCTTATGGAGTTATGTCCGTATGAACATAGACGGCGTGTATGCATGTATGTACATATATGTAAACGCACTTGTATACAACCATATGTATGTAGGCATATTAGGGTGGTTCGACAAAAAAAGTTTAAAGTGTTAAGCTCTCACCCCCTCCGATTTTTCTAAATAAAACTGCCTCAAAGCCTTGAACGTTTTTCATGTATTTTTATTGCAGACTTCCAATGAAGAGAAACAAAATTCTCTGATCGAAAAATAATTATTTTAAAGAATTCTTTACCATTTCTGGGAAAAGGTGTTTCTTCTCGATATAAAATACATGGAAAATTTCATGGGCTTTGAGGCAGTTCTAAGTAGCATTTTTTTAAACGAAATAAAAACGGGTTTTCTTTTTTTCCATTTAGAAAAATCCTAGGGGTGAGAGCTTAACAATTTAAACATTTTTCCTTCACATGTATTTTTGGACCACCCTGATGCACACACATACATATGTGTGCAGATGCGTCTGCTCATGTGTAAACATTCTTTGCATAACAAAGAAATACGCATTGGTTATAAAATATATTCATGGTATTTTTTTTTTTTTAAGCAAAAGATTTCGAAGATTCAAGAAATGTCTCAGTGTGGGCGTAACAATGCTTGCATAATTTTTATTCTGATCTTTTACAAAAGTGGAGATTTAGAATTGCAGGACATGTTGCTGGACAAATACTATTTTAAAGGCCAATTTGATTTTTGCAACAGTTTCAATTGTTACGTATCCTCGTTGGAATGTAGGAGGAGTACTTTGATTACCTTGCGTAAATGCAGAAAGTTTGAAAAGCTTAGTAGCAATTCAAACCATATATACTTACATATATGTATGTACATATGTGCATGTGTTACATAAGTTAAAGCTTTATCTTGAATTTCCTTACTTGCAAAAACAAGAGTTACATACAGATACTGCATATTGTAAAAGAAACCCGATATTCCTTTGAAAGAGGATTCTCGAAAATATTCGAAAGTATTCGCGTCGCTTGCACGTGC